AACCTGACGTGTTGGAAGAGCACGAGTTTTGTAATTCTCAATGTACTGAGCCTTAACGTCTTGTCGATAAGTGATAGCTCGACAATCATTAACTCTACCCGTCAGCTGCACGGTGATCCTCCCTACCCTGTGTGGGTCGTGCACTTGAAAATCCTTAATATAACCTGTCATTCTTTCACCATTCTCAAAGGCAGACACACTCTTTTTTCTCAACAAATATGCACATTTCCAAACTATTAAGTGTGCATTTTTGCTAAAAGGAAATATGGCGGGTCGACCCGTCTATAGTTAAGCTAAGCTGCCTCACATGAGAATTTTACTCTCCTGTTCTCAATTATGAAAGTAGAGCACCTCAGTTTATACCAACAGTAACAATAATTTCTAATATTCTCAAAAACCGCCATAAATAAAACCACAAAGATTGATCAACGATCATGTCTCTTTACCACAAAGTATAGGGAAATGCTACGGTCCCGTTACGGAACCATTCCGTCAGGGTTTGTAACCGTCGGGGATAGTTGATCTAACGGCAGTTCCGTAACGGGACTGTAGTATCTCCCCAAAGTATAAATCAATGAAACCTATAGAATACCAAGTTCATTTTCCTATCTCTACCTCTTTTTCAATTTTTTTTTTTTTAAATTATATTTTGGCTTCGGTCTCAATCTTCACTCCATTTTCCCCCCCAATTTCACCTTCAAGCAAAACCTCGTCCGATTACTAGAATCACACAACTGTTTTTTCTACCTGAATCACTAAAAACCTCTGCATAAATACAATATCATCAATTGAAAACAGTTCACAGCTCAGACAAAAATGGTGTCTTGCACATGTTTACTGGATAAAATTACAGACCCAAAAATAAAAATTAAAAAAAAAAATAAAAAAAAAAAGAAAAAAACCATTAAACACCTACCTCTGTATTTCATGATTTGCAGAAAAGATGAGAGGACATTAGAGATGGGCTTCAGCTCCGCAGTAGCGAATCTTCTCTTTTCTGCATTGACGATGGTTCTCAATGCATCGTTCAGTATTCTTCTTCCCATTCTACACTACAATCTCTGTTTCTCTACTACTGCAGTAGCTATGAAACCCTTGAAATGGTTGGCCGTTGGGGATAATTTGGGCCTCTTGTTCTTTGGGGAATGGGCCTTGAACAAATTTTGTGTGCATGTGAATTTTGGGTTCAGTTATCAGGTAAAGTCCGGCCCGTGTTCCGGCATTTGTGTAGACATGTCCACGGACCGAACCGACTCATGAACCGGTCCCAGCCCGAACCGGCCCTTAGGTTCATAATTTTTTTTGGATCCGCCGGTCCAATTGTCGGGCCGCGGGCCGGGGGACGGGCTTCAGACCAGTTCTATGAACAGGCTCATAGTTTATTTCGGGTCGCGGCCCGACAATTGACCACCTCTACATTTGTGCTTTGGAATTATGCCGCGTGTTGTATACCTTTTCATCCTTCTTTTCTTTTCTTTTCGTGTTATTAATATATACCTAATACCTTTATGTATCTTCATTTGTTTCCTTAGATTATGTGTTGTTCAATGCTCAATACACAACAATGGACATATTATGAAGTAATTTATAAACTAGTATGTAAAGATCGAGTTGTTTAGGCAACAAAAATGTGTCCCATTGAGATGTGAATTGAAAATTTTTCACTTTTATCTGTGTAGTTGAAATTTCTCTTACTGAGATGAGAATTGAAAACATAAAAAAAATTCCATTTAACTTTTCTACATTTTTCTACACAATGACACTAATATAATTTAAAAATAAAAATAAAATTTTATTATATATTTTTCGACAAAAATTACAATTCTTCCACTCACATATCTCTAACTACCAATCAGCTCACATTCACAGTGACTAAAGAATAAAAAAGTTGAAGCACTTTGGTTCCTGTTAAAAAACTTCTGCCAGCAATAGCATCAACTAAACTATATAAAAAAACGTCAAAATTTGATAGCACTGGACAAAGGAGTGCCAACTTAAGTTTAAAAAACATGCAAAAAATATTGTACAGTTCACTATTTACAACTTCATACAAAACTGACACAGATCTCAATCCATTGATTCTGCACAGCAGTAAATAATCGGACCATCAACGGTAAAACCGCACTTACTAAACACCAGCTTTCGTGGGCCCGTGAGGTTTTAAGCCAATGAAATGACCAACAATTCAATACTCGGGCAGGAAAATATCGACAATGATTCTCATTTATACGAGGCTGTATAATTCTTGATCATCTGTTTCAAATGCTGTACGAGAAAATTAACATGGACCGTGTTAGTCAAAAGATAATGAGAGCGACTTACAAAGCCAAGCGGTAAAGGTAATAAATAATAAAGAACAAGTGAGCCCCCACCTTTAGTTCTTCATAGAGCACGATAAATATTTTCTTCTGCCGTTTATGTTTCTGCAAAAGGCCAGGTGTTAGTCAAGATGTAATCAAATTGATAAGAAGACTTGAGACTGGAAGTTCATAATCAAGACATCAACATACTTGCTATAAATTCAACCCATGAAGGTTTTTGGATTTTGGTGCATAAAGCAAGGAGTGTGACTTTCAGAATATTATTATATAATTAGCACCCTTGACATTAGGTTCAGCCTAGATGGGATCATTAATTCAATATTTTCTTTTTTCTTTGAGGAAAAATGTTTTTAAATTACAAGTATCCAACTTGACAAACATTCATTCGTCTTTTAATAGATACACGAGTTTTTTTTTTTTTCCTTTGCTACTAGACAAAACTTCACTGATAATGTTTTATTTTTTTGCAATTAACCATTATTATATCATGAATAGGACTCCGCAGGGAACAAGCATTAAGTACCTCTCCACATTGATGAAATGATAATCTCATCTGCTTCAAGATCTCATGATATCTCTTCATATCCCTTCCTTTATAAGTCTCGAGGTCCTTGCCGTATTTAGTGAATTCATCCCTGTGCATATATAACAATAAGTTTGTCAGGCAACTGAATTTGACCAACAAACCCTAAAGAGACGTAATATGACTCAAAATACCTGTAATCCTCCAAGATTTTGCTCAAGGAACGATAACTCTGATATTTCTCTTGATATTCCTTCACATATTCTTTGTACCTGCAAAAAAGTACGATCAAACATAGTTACATAAACACTGCGCTATGGATATGATGACTTCCGAGTTCCAACACACCACGTATTGAAGGCATAATTAACCTTCATTGATTTTCAGAAAACAATGTTCACACTTACTGAGAAACATCCTTTATTGGACTCTTCAGCTCAGGCTCTTTCTTATCGTATTTGGCATACAAATTGTCCACATCTCGAGAAGATTCTTTCTTCTTTTGACCACTGTCGTTGGTACCTCTCGAAGAAGCATCTACTTGCCTGCCATTCAAATCGCCCGTCGCATTTGATTTCTGTTTCTTGCTTCCTTTTAATGGAAAGGGCCCAACTCCTCGAACAGGGTCATGCTTCTTCTGCTGCTGCTCTGCTGAACTGACAGGCATTCTTCTAGTGACATCACCATGACCTTCCGAGCTTCGGGCCCGGCCCGGCCCAGCATCAGCAAATCTACTTTTATTACCCATTTCCAAAGCCTTTCTTTTCGACAGTCCATCTGTCATCCCAGAAACCACTGCCTCTGAATTCTGAGATGACAATTTAAGCCCTGAATCCGCATTGATCTTACAGTCAAGTGCTTTCCCTCTTCCTAAATCAGAATTCCTTCCTTCGAAATCCATCGACTTGTTGTTCTCCATCTGTTTGAAAGAATTCTTTCTATCAATCTGCTTCTTCGGTAAAGGTGTAGCATCCTCAACAGGCTCTCGAAACTCGCCCAACTCCAAATCCGAATACTCGTTTTGGAGCACACTGCCACGCCCGTTTGGCATGGGCAATCTATCTGCTGTACCGGCAACATTTTCTCCCAATTGTGCCCCGACCCACGCACGAACCTCAGGAGACTCCCTTCTTAGATCATCATCATTATCCGCCATAATATCTACGACGGGACTCTTCTCGGGACTCTTTGAGGGCCCAAAAAGAGAGCTTATAGTCCCTGCAACCGGCTGGCTCGAGTCCTTCCCGCTCATAAACCTCTCGGGAGATACACAATTAGCACCTCGGTGGGGACCATACGGCTGGGGCCTCGGCGGCGGCTCCTCATCGCTCATGATGTTGACATCCTCGTCGGACGCCTGCTGGCTGCTGTGGCTCCGACTCGAGCTACCGCTGTCACTGCTATCACTGTCGCTCGAGCTGCCACTGTCGCTCGAGCTGCCACTATCGCTCGAGCTGTTTCCTGCGGCAGCCTTGCTGTCGCTGAGCTGTTGTTTGGGCAGGCTCGGAACTGTGTCGGTTTTATCAGCGGGCTCATCTGTGGTGCGTGGAGGAGTAGAGTTGAGTTCTTCGTGTTCTTGCTCGTTGTTGGCAGATGTTGCCATGGGGTTCATTTGGTGGCGGTAGGCGGCTGGGGAACTGAAGGAATAAAGGTAATGTTAAATACGAGAAGTTCTAGCGTGCTTGGATACCAAAATTCTCAAAAAAAAA